AGAGAGGAGAGAGGAGAGAGAGGAGAGGACAGGGGAGGAGAGGGCAGGGGAGGAAAGAAGAGAGGGGAGAGAGGAGAGGGGAGAGAGGAGAGGGGAGAAAAGAGAAGAGAGGGGAGAGGAGAATTGAGGGGAGAAGAAGAAAGGGGAGAGAGGAGAGAGAGGAGGCAACTGGACTTTGTTTTTCCATGAAAACTTTTCACTTCTCATCCAAGAAGCTTCTTCAGTTTAGTTGCTTTTGAAAAAGCACTTTTGAGATGAATATAATTATGAAAGTAAGAAGGCTGCGGTTTTAAATGAAAGCAAAAGTGTAAAAATGCACAGATTGAAATATGTATTAAACTACTGCTTGCATCAGAGTGAAACACCCAAAAAGCTATGGAATAGCAATTGCCAAATGCGTAAAAAAACAACAACAACAACAACAACAACAACAACCACAAGATCTTGCAAAGAAATACTCTGAAAAAGAAACTAATGGAATTAATTACTGCTCTGATACTTAAAACCTCCCTGAACATTTGAGATACGCTCTGCTCTCTTTCTAGAACTTTATCTTTAAAAAGCTCCCAGATATGGTTCTTTTAAAAATGATTTCATAGTTGTTGTTGTTATTGCACACAATTGTTATACAATCACATATTTCATTGAGAATCACATCATTTAAGAAGCAAAAAACCTGTATCATTTACTTCTGGATTGCCTTGCATAAAATGGACTTTTAAAAAATGGGAGAGTTTGGCCACAACACAAACACATATGTAAACACACAACCACACCCTCCCCCTCACAAACACACTACCCTTAAGATTTCTCCCATATATACCTAGTTCCAGTTTTTGTTCTCAAGGTGGACAATTTCTGATCCAAGCTGAATATTGTCTTCTAAGCAGAAAAATGGTTTTTTTTTCCCCCTCTGCTTAGTGGAATGAGCCCAGCCTATTTAACCTTACAAAACCTATTTAAAATCCCGCAATTTTCCATGTTCTGGTTTCATTCTCAATCTGAAGCAGCCAATTTGCTTCACTGATCTCATCTCCCCTGTCTCCCCTCTCCGTCTCCTAAGGTATAAAGAAAGATGAAATTGTTTTGACAGCTTACCTGCTGTTAGGCCACAGCCAGATGAGATGGTCAACTGGCTTCAAAACCATCAAGTCTACTCATAAGATCAGCAGCAAGAGAAAATAGGCAATTGGGAATATTCCTGTGTATTGGTATCTGATGAGGCGTTGTTGAATTAATTGTGGGGTGGAAGAGTTGATATTATGTCATCAAGGATCATAACAATGGGGTAAGCTTCATTATTCTCCCTTCTTCTATTACAAAGCCAATATCTTCATAGAAGTCTGCTCATTGAGATCAAGATGAATTTACTTATTGGGTTCATTTTTTAAAATAAATTAATTACAAGAAGTAATTTCCAATCTTGAATACCTAGTCAACTGAAATTTCAGATATTTCTCTCTCTGGGAACAATGAGAATATGAAAAAAAAAAAACTTGCATTGGCAACAAGAAAGGCATCCAGCTAGTAAACACTTAGCTCCATTCAGTTTCAAGGACTCCAACCCACAAGGGACTGGGAAGCCAGCACTATGCCCGATACTATTTTTCCCTTTATTGCAATCTGAGTTTATCTACATTCTTAAAGCAGCCTGATTTATTTTTCCTTCCTCCCTTCCTAGGCTCAGCTCACCCTATCAGCTCATCCCAGTTCCCTTGAGATGCCATCCATGCTGAATCTGCAGAGAGCTCTGATTGAACTGCTGAATCAGTCGGTAATCAATCTTCCATCCCTACTGATATTCATTAGTATTTTATCTTTGATCACAGCCTAATGGGAAACATAGACCATTAAGGAATAACAAAATGTCCACTAATTGATCTATGCTGCCAATCCTCCAGAGCTAACGGAGCTTATTCTGATGAAATAGCTGGAAGAAAGTTCAGGTACAGGAGAAGAATGTGACTACTTCATCTTGTAATTCTTGGGGAGGCAAGTAATATTTTTCCTTCATTGGATTAATCCATTTTTCTTATCTAGTCAATTAAAAAGCTTACCTCAGGATGGATATAGAAGATNTCTGGGAATTGAAGTCCACCCATCTTAAAGTTGCCAAGGTTAAGAAATACTGCTCTAATCATCCATAAATCCCAACCTATTCAAGAGATCTTTGAGGAGTGAGTATAAAGGACACATTCCTCAACATTTCCTCAAACCCTGGGTGGAAGATATTAAGTTAAGCCTAATCCAAAACGAATAAGAGACTGAAGAGTATCTCCAACCATTCTCATTGCTCATTTAAGGATGGGTAGACTTCAATTCCCAGAATTCCACCCTTCTTAAAATTGCTCAGGTTGAGAAACAGTGCCTTAAGGGCTGCTTCATTTTAAGAAAAAGAAACGGAAGCTGTGCTTCTTCAGAAACTAATCATTTTCTCAGCAGTACCAAAGCCCACCAATATGCAGAAAAAAATCTGATATCGGTACTAAATCCTCCTATTTAAAATCTGCTGAAAAATACAACCTGAGCTGAAAGAAACAGCATCCATACTTTTTTTTTTTGCAAAGTATGCAAAGAAATATTTTTGTTTATGTTTCCTGTCCTTCTACTTTGTACAAGAAATTCAGAAGGGCTTCGTGTCCTCTAAGTGCTTGTTCAACATAGCTACACACATATGTGTAGTGGTTCAGGTTCAACACACAAAAGCGGGGTTGGAACATGCAAAAGTGCAAATGAGTCTGCAGCTCTTTGATGGGGCCTTTTCTCTTTTCTCCCTGTGATCCCAGGAAAAAATACAGTTGCTTGAATGAATAGTGGACAATATGGCAGGTTAATTTTTTTCAGCCAAAATTTGTTAGTTAAAGGCAAAATATAATCCGAGGAATTTCAGAAATTTAGCCATGTTTGAATGTATTTTTCTCCTCATTCTCTTGCCAAACCCCATCAATTTCTTATGGAATGCTAGGGTTCCAGTGGAACACAATTTGAAAAACTCCAATCAATAGTATCTTTTCAGAAATGAACACAAACTGTTGCAAAACATATACACTTGAAAGTTCATAATCATGAAGTTAAACTGAATTCCGCAGTTAGAAAGTCCACTACAGGGTTATGATTCTCCAGAATTTTCTGAGAAACAACTCCCATCTGCCACACCCCAAAAAGTCTATCATAATAAAACTGATACCAACCTCTAGAGAGCAACCCCATCCCCAATCACAGCATTAATCAAACATTTTTGTCCTGCCTTGTGCCTGCTTCAGATAATGCATCCTGAGTTTGTGAAATCACTTTTAGATTTGTCTGAACTGAGAAGCTGTGATTTAAGCTTCCCACAAATTAGAATTGAAACTTGATTCCAATATGTTAGGGAAACTATAATGGACCACAAATCAGCAATAGCAATAGCCCTTAGACCACTTCGTAGTGCTTTACAGGCCCCTCTAAGCGGTTTAGAGTCAGCCTATTGCCCCCAACAATCTGGGTCCTCATTTTACCGACCTTGGAAGGATGGAAGGATGAGTCAACCTTGAGCCTGTGGGAATCGAACTCCTGGTAGTGAGCAGAGTTAAACTGCAATACTGCATTCTAACCGCTGCGCCACCACAGCTCTTACCTTGTACTAAAGGGCAGTTCTATTTGGTTTGCATACAGTATGCTACATCAGCCCATCCAATTATGTGATCTCTGCTTAAATAAATCATGGTCCAAACACACCCGGGCCATTACGAATTTTCTTATATATTTTTTCTTCTCTTCTGACTCAAAAAGGATAGCGATCAAAGGGTAACATAACCTCAGCATGGTTATGTTTTCAGCATTCGATTTAGGTTATTTTTTAAAACTCCTTTTATGAGGATCATGACTAATTCTTTCCAATGCACTGAAGATACAGTATATATCAAAAGCACTGCAAGAGCTCCATAACCAATTATCTTATGAATTATTTCCCCCTTCCATAAATGAATTGGCTAACAGTTTAGCCAATTTGTGGGCTGAAGTCCTCTTCAAAGCTTGGCGGTTGTTTGCAACGAAGCATTTTTGTGAACCTCTTCCAGCCAGTCGATCAGGATTTTGTTCAGAGCTGCAGGCCTGCAGAGAAAACACATGTTGGCAAGGCAGGTATTTTGCAATGTGTGCACTTGCACGCACAGATACTCATGGGAGGGAAAACAGAATTTAGTGCCCAAAGAACCCAAATTAATGCAAAGTCACATTTTTTTCTGATTCCTTGTAAGCTTATCAGTCTTATTTTCTCATGCATCCAGAGAAATAAAGACGAGAACAAGAGATCTGATCCACTGTGGTGACTAAAAACTGAATTATAAACCAACTTTTTGTTTGGATCCTTCCAGATGAATTGACTTCAATTCTCAGAATGCCCCCAGTTAGCCATGATGATTGGAGAAACTGAGAATTGACATTCAGCGCATTTAGAAGGTTACAGGCTGAGAATGCTGCTCTCTATAAACCTTTATCAAAGTAAAGCATATGTTTTGCTTAAAATTGCAAAAAACTGTCATGTCTACTTTCCTTTCCCAATGTGTGACGAGTATTCAGATTGAATTTGGATTTGCATTACATTTACATCCTGCCTTTCCTCTGGAATATCAATATGGTATAAAAAAAAACGAGCCTTTTCTCATTTGATCCTCAAAAGAAAAACCTGAATGTCAGAATGCAGAGTAGGAATGGAAAATACCTGGCCACACCAATTTTGGAACATTATTTAGATGTTTGCATTTTCTACATATCAACCCATTTAACATAACTTCTACATTAACATGAATATACTAGCTTTTGAGCATCAATGTAAGAAATTGCTCTGGATGTAATCAGACTTTTAGTCTTCTGCTGGCCCTTGCCCTCAAAATTCTGCCCTATTGTCCATTTCCACATAGAATCTATATTTCAGACAAAACTGGTCTGTAATTCCTTCTCCCTGGATTTCCTCTGAATACTAAAATTGAAGGAATTAACTATTTTCAGGGTTGGGAATGGGATTTGCTATCAACTGAGAATTTCTAAACCTATAATGATATGGTCAGCACTCTACCTACTATCCAGCAAGCAATAACTAAAAGAAATCCTTGCTCTATTATTTTTTATTTGTAAAGGTAAAGGTTCTCCTCGCACATATATGCTAGTTGTTCCCAACTCTAGGGGGCTGTTTCAAAGCCAAAGAGCCATCACTGTCCAAAGACGTCTCCGTGATCATGTGGCTAGCAGGACTAAACACTGAAGGCGCATGGAAAGCTATTATCTTCCCACCAAAGGTGGTTCCTATTTTTCTACTTCCATTTTTTATGTGCTTTCGAACTGCTAGTTTGGCAGAAGCTGGGACAAGTAATGGGAGCTCACTCCATTACACAGTGCTAGGGATTTGAACCACCGGACTGCCGACCTTTCTGATTCACAGTGGTCTTAGCCACTGAGCCACCGCATTCCTTTATTTGTATCCTGCTTTTATTATTTTTACAAATAATTTGCCAAACCAGCCAAGGAAATCTTTCACATAAATAAAGCAAATTATATGATAGACTTTATTAAACACTTTCAATTAGACAAGTGGTTGGAACAAGAAGAACTCAAGAGATTTACTAGTCATATTTTCTAAGCTTGAACTATGCATATATAAGACTTTGTAATACTGAAGCCTGCCCAGGTTGTATGAAGACAGATTCTGTTGCTTCCAACAAAACGACCAATTTATCAAAAATTTATCCACACAAATATATCAAAAAGCACCTGATCACTCAATAGCACCATAGCACAATCAACAGAAGCTATGAAAGAGATAACACTGCCATCCACCAGAAACTATTAGCAGATGATTACTGACAAGCAGTGTGACAAAGCAATTTAAGCACTCCAAAACATTTTAAATAAATGAAAAGACCTATAGCTCAAGAAAACAGGACTCATCTACAAAATACAGTGTAACAGCCATTATTTAGGGCAAACAGGCAGAAAACTAGCAGAATTCAACCATGAACATCAAGTAGCTGTCAGGATGAAAGTTGTTTAATTTCACAACACGTGGACAGAATCAACCATAATTTCAACTGGGAAACTGATCACCATAGACCAAGATGAACCCCAAAATTCCAGAATTCCTAGAAGCTTGGCATTCAGACAAATCAGTCATCAACAGACACATAGAGACAAACCACGTTTGCAAAGCATTCAAAAGAGGCAATAAAAAAAGCTAAGAAAGAAATAAAAATAACCAGAACACATCTTCTCCAGCAACTGAAACTCAAATAAGCAGAGATTAACACCAGACACTCAAACAGAAATCAAAACACTAATCAAGGCACTGCCAAGGAGAAAGCCACATCTTTACTGACACAGGTAAAGCAAGCTATTATATCATATAAACAGGGAGCAAATCCCCCACACACTAGCACTAATTATGTTTACTTAGTCAGATAATGAAATATCTGCAAGTAAACAACCAAGGACTCCAAAAAAAGTCCCTATCCAAATGTAGGGACTAGAGAAAAGGTGTCAGGTAAGAAGAAGCTAAAAAGAACTACAAGAATAATCCAATATCCATTTGGTTGAATCTGGTTCTAGTCAAATCAACCCATTTTTAAAGGTACCTAAATATACAGCATTTTGGTATTTTGGCCTACAGGCGGCAATACAGCTGCATGCCCTTCACCATTCAGTTTGTCCCTAGTGCTCCCTCACCCACTTTGTACTTTTTAAGTGTATTTTTCCATCCTACTTAACTAGTGATACTAGTGAAACATTTTACAATGTTGTAAAATGTGGGATGTGAGAGAAAGGCACATTTGATTCCTACAAGGGACTAAAATAATTCATCTTCCTACTGCAGTTTATTCATTCTTTACTTGAATTTATCATCCTTTGTGTAGGAACGCTTCCCTAAATGTAATTATGTAATTTCAGCCAGTATCTCAAGGCCCTTTTCATAGTATTTTTCTTTTTTAAAGAAAAGAACTGCCATGACATTACAAAGACAGCAGTTTATAAAAAGCAGGTGAACAATAGAGCAGGAAAGGGGTAGACCGAACGAGAAAAAAGATTTTATGGCATAAATAAAACATCAGTTTGCACACAGGAGCACAGAATGCCTTAACATACAGAAGTCTTTGATAAAAGTTTAGAGTGATCTATAACTCTGCTTACACGCATGTTTGCATATATACACAAACATACACACAGATCTCTGTAAGAAAAACCTTGGAGATCTTAATCTTGGATTAGATCAAGAGTCTCAAAACTATGGCCCATGGGCTACAACCGGCTCTCCAGAAACTTCCTTCAAGTCTGCCAGCTCATCCCATGTGTTGTGCTCCAATCCTTTCTAAACAGCAAAGGAAGAGAGGATTCCCTTGATTTCTGTGATAGGGTGTGTGTGTGTTATGAGCCAGTGGACGGTTGCTGAATGAGGAAGGGGAAGTTTCTTCCCTTTTAAAATTTGCACCAGCTCTGAGCTGGCCGAACTGGCTTAGGGCTGGGCATATGGGGAAAAGGATGCCTGCCAGTTGGAGGATTGCTTTCTTTACTTGAGGGGGGAGGAGGGATCTGGACTGATTGGTTACTGGTCTGATCTAGCATAGCTTCTTTCTATTTTTATGTTTGCTAATATGTGACATTTTTCTTATATCATTTCTCCAAACAAGCACAGCCTTGTTTCTTTGTAGTTTCTTTTTTGCTCTTGTTGTGAATCATAGCATATTGAGCAAAATAATGTGTATGTATGTGTACACACACACACACACCACACACACACACACACACACACTATATCACAGAAGTGAGTACACCCCCTCACATTTTGTAAGTATATCTTGCCAGCAGTTTAGACATTAATGGCTGCGTGTTGCATTATTTTGAGGAGACAACACATTTACACTGTTATACAAGCTGTATGCTCACTATTTTACATTGCAGCCAAGTGTCATTTCTTCAGTGTTGTAGAAAAGATATCCTTAAATATCTACAAAATGTGAGGGGGGTGTACTCACTTCTGTGATATACAGAAAAATGGGGGAAAGAAAAGGGAAGTGCATAGGAAAGAAGGGAAAGGGAAAAAGAAAGAAAAGGCATTGGCTTCCAATTCCCTTTGGTGCAGTAAAATAAATAGTAACATCCAACCTCACCTTTTTACTTTTACATAATAGTATTAAACTAGCCATTTCTATATCAACAAATTTATCTAATCGTGAAAACCCAAAATCAAAGTTTCATTTTTTCCCTCTACCTCAAGCACAAAGTCCAGAAGAGGTTTCTAAGAAGAAACAAAAGCAGTTATGCTTTTTTATTCTTTTATCAAAGCAATCAATTTAGTCATCTCTGCTAATTCCTTCAACTTTTGCAGCCATTCGCCCATTGTGGGGATCAAATATATTCATTCGATTAAATTTTATTCATTTATTTATAAAATAGATCCCCCCCCCCATGTTTGCAAAATGTTCAGTGTGGCTCTCAGACTGAGAAGTTTAAAGACACCCCTGGATCAGATGGACCAAGAATCTGAAGTGTTTAGCAACACTAAATGGTTCTCAGCTCTTGAAAGAGGTATCTTTATCCCTGCAGTGTCCCTCCGGTTGGTTGTAAAGACAGATGACTATATTTGGTTACCAAATGTAAGAGATTACCAGGTTGAACCCGAGGATGGGGTTTGATTGGACTTATATGCCGCCCTTCTCCCAAAGGACTCAGGGCAGAATACAACATAAAAACACATATGACAAAAGTTAAAAAAGATACCTCGGAAATCCAATAACCTTCAACTGACAATTTAAAT